TAAAGTCTCAATATCTTTTTTGTTTCTTGTCATAATCCTTTGAAATTTTGAACATATTCCTACATTATGAAATCTACAGCATGATATATAAGAATTGTCATGAAATCACGTAAATCCACAAGTGCTGCAATCTGATTGGCTGAAACTTTAAATGGCTATATCTCCTTTGTTTTTTGACGAAATTCTTTGAAATTTAAAATATAGTCATGAATTAGGATATCCTACAATATGATATAGAAAAAATTCATGAAATCACGCGCATGCACGTGTGCTGCAATCTGATTGGCTGAAACTTGAAATGGCTATAACTCCCTTGTTTTTCAACCAAACAGGATGGGATTTAGAACATAGATGAATATCAGGGACTCCTACAAGAAGGTATGGTCATCATGCACGTGCACGCACGTGCGTGCATTTGTAACAAGTATGATTAAAAATACACTTGAATGAGTGATTTTTATTACTTTTGGACTGAATGCTTTAATATACAGTATATTAAAATATATAGATAGTGTAGACAAGATGATATGGTCATAACGCACATGCATTCACATACGCCTGGGTGTAATGCTAAAATTTGAATATAATTGGTATCCTTTTGGGAAAACGTTATTAAAGTCAACAATGCACAGAGTTTGTCTAATTTAATGAGGCTTACAGGGAATATGGCACCAAAAGAGAGTTGGGGAGCGTTTGGGGAACATCTGTAACGGTTCCCGTTACAATTAGCACTAGTTAAAACTTGTGATGATACCTTTTGTCCTCCTGTACATATTGCCACCAATTGCAATGACAATAAGAGCTGGAGATGGCAACACTTTGAGCATCAGCACTAAATGTCGTCGGTGACATGTACAATACATTTAATTTTATGTTCTACATTCATTTATACAATTTTTTTGCGAAATATTTAACTGCGATGAGTCAAAGGAAGAGATTTTTGAAATTTATGTCACTGTTCTCCCTATTCAGAGTGCAGTTTAGCTGATTGATTGCTGTTTTTTGCCCCATCTGAGAATATATTTACCCACATATACCAAAATATACTGATACCTTTATTAAGCAATAAGGTCCATTTATCAGTAAGGTTTTCTTATCTAATTAAGCCTACCATTACAAGGGCAATTCATTTTCAAGTTCTCAATTTAAAGACCTACAACTTTTCAATTTTGTGTTTAAACTGTTTTATGTAATTTCCAATGAACAGGAAATCCTACTTATAATAAAGACGTGATTGTGAAGCATTAATGGGGGGGGTGATGCCCCTATATGGACGCTGAATGCCAAGGTAAAAGTTTTTTTTTTCAAATAGTGGTCAAAAATCAATGAATTAATGTTGACATTCAATAACTAGAAAACTGACCAGTCAGCAAGGGCCCCGCCATGGGTAGAGTTATAAGTGCAGCTTATGGAATGATTCAAAAATATATGACAAATAAGAAACAGCAACTGTATTCTTGAAATTTCAAGATAATTCCTGAACATTCAAAAACCTGTAAAATAATATCCTTGTATTTACATAAGGAATAAAGAACAACTCAACACTGAATGTATATCTAAACAATAATGAAGCCTGTGTTATATAAAATGCCAGCCTTCAATGAACGCATACATATTATGAAGGCTTGACCTTAACTTCAAAACAAACAGCAGTTGCAGACAAAGGTTTTCATTAATCTTAAAGTGACAGATAAATATAAGCCTTCTAAATTTTCTGCACGCAGACTAAATAATTAATCCCAAGGGATTAATTGTATTTCTCTCATCATTTTCTTCTGAATTTATAATAACTTTTTCAGTAATGATAGAATGAGGTTTTTCATCCTACTACCTTAAAAATTAATAATTTTTTGAATTTACTTGAAGCAAGAAAAAAGTAAAAAAAATATAAAAATAAAAATAAAAAAAATATATCTTCTTTAATCTATTTCTGGTTTTTAAGAATTCAATGAAATCAGAACTCATTGTGTAGGGTATTTCAACAAAAATAAAGTAAAAAAACATTTATAATTCCAATCCACATTTCAGAGTGTTCATAGCATTGCAAATGGACTATCTTCAAAGCAAACTTCATTTGCAGACAGAGGTGGTAATTAATCTCAATGTGACAGATAAAGATAATGCTTTGGATATTCTTCAGTAGTAAAGCTAATTAATCCCCAAGGGACTCATTCTTTGCAGTATTCAGTTTGCAATGGGAACATTTTCAGAAATTATCTCTCTTTGCCAATTCATTCTTATATAAAGTTAAGGAATCTACCCCACCACCCCAGCTCCAAACCAGAGGACATAGAAGAAAACTTAGCATCAAAATATGTCTTTTTGCCTACTGAACTACCATACCAAATTGGAACTTAATTGGGCAACCACAAAAAAAGTTACTAGAAAAAAACAGAAAATTTGTGGACGGATGAATGACAGACGGACGGACAGACAGAGTGATTACTATAGGGCACCCGCAAATCCTTGCGGGCCCCTAAATCTTATCACAAAAAGACAAATGTGAAAAACAATGCACCAACCATACAGAATACATGGTCAAGATCAAAGTTTTGGTTCATTAAACTTGGAACAAGGGGCTTTACATGTACACTGTACATCCTATCAATCTTCAAGCTCCAATTCAATATTGGTAATTAAAAGCCTTAGGAATTAAAATACTTCTAAAATATAATGGTACATGTATAACAATTTATTGTACATTAATAACCAGTACATACACAGTTTGAAATATTAAGCATAACATAAGCAACTAATATCGAATGAATGAACATCATCCTTACTTTCAGAAAACACAGACATGCATTTCATTTCTACAGTCACACATGAAATTCTTTCTAAACAGAATTTTAAAATATACCAAAAAAACTACGAGGTATTAACATAAGCTTATGCTTCTCTCCTTTAAAAATCTGATTATTGGACTCACACAAAATAATGCTAAAATATATATATAAATGATGGTAATGTAAGTCTTTTAAAATAAAACAACTTATTTAGCAAAGTCATTTTCTATTTTTTCTCAAGCCATTTAATGACAATGTTCATATTTTTCTTCATCCACTGAACGTTTGATTGAACAGCCTCTACAGCTTGGTCATAGGCGCGGGCAGAACGACCCATATCAGAAGGTGTGCTTTGCCAAAATCAATCAGCTGGGAAAAAAGAGACAAGATTCTTGTAATCTTTCGACATGATTGACAATTCTGGTGTTGTGCTTTTCAAACATACAATGTACTAGCATTTCATACTGATTAAGAGCCCCTCACTTCTTTTTTTTTTACTTTTTATAATTGCCAGTGATTGGGAAGGGCTTGCGCCACGCGCCATAGTCGCATTGAAGTGAAAAATGGCGCATTAAATTAATCAATCATTGCGCCAAGGTGCGCATTCAATTTTAATCGATGTTTGGAAATATTTTGCGTATGACTTTCTTTCTTGTTTTACTTTCGTTTTTAAATGAAGTCAATTTAAAACAACAATTCTCATTGGTTGAACCTCGTTTCAAAAAGTACTTCCGGTTAAACGAAGCACTTACATTAGGCACAATACTTCATTCAATTGTATTGTAAGGCTGTTTCTTTCCATAACTGTCGTAATTTTAACACAAAATACGATTAGTTATATTCTAAGGAAGTTCCTTTAAATTTGCTGCATTGCATGTGTTAAAAGTCAGATTTGGTCAATTAAAAAACGTGTTTTCTCTCGTATTTAATATTGTTTGTCAGTTTGTTATTTTTTAAAATGGCCCTTCAGATTATATTGATGGCCCATTTGATTTCTAAATGGCCCATCAAAAATGTTGACAGTTGCGCCATAGTCCCATTGACCATTTTGGCCTTCCAATACTGAATTGCTGTTTTATAAATTCCAAAAAAAAAAATTTAACTGCTGTTTTGTAAATTCAAAAAAAAAAATGTGCGAAGTTATTCCAAAGATTAAAAAAAATTGAATTTTTCATGCATTGGTGCGAAAGACATTAAATGGATACAATGCATTTTCTATTTTTATTTCAACTTCATGTCATACCGGTGCCATTTTATAAATAAATGTCTGAAAAGATTTTTTAAAAAAAAGAATAGAATTGGCATCATCTTGGTAAAAAAGTTCTCATAAAAGTCTCTCTTAAGAATAATAATAGTTTCATTTCCTGTATATATTTATAGTTTATACCTGTTGTAGCTGGTACTTTGTGTTAAATGCTCCAGAAATACTTTTAATAAAGCGTCCCGCATTCCACTGCCCTTCACTGTATCTATAAAACATAGAAGACATTTTGTCTTATAGCCAAAACTGAGAGTGATGTTGTATTCCAGAAACATAATTTTTAATTGTGGCTAATATCGAAAAAAAAATTAATAGTATGCCAAATTTTTTTTTCTGTTTCGAAATGTGTATCATGTAAACATAGTTGATCACTTCCATGGGTAGGTTTCTGTTACAATTTTTCGTTGTTTACACTGAGCTCTATATACATGTATGTGAAACTCGAATATTAATATCAATAGAAACTATACAAGCTTTTTAGTATGTCAGTTGATATAACTGATACCAAATATAATATCATCTTGGACCAGGAAGCAAACATGACTTACTCATTCATGATATAATCCCAGCGGGATCTGATAAAGTTCCAGGCTATGGGTCGACCAATCATCGTACTGCCTACAGACGAGATGACACTCGTACCGTCCTGTTTCCTGACCTCACCGTCAGTTACAGCATACTCCAAAAACCTGAGGGATAAAATCAAAATGTAAACTGAAAAGATGTACAAAGATCAAATATGCTTGAATATCTTGTATCTTTCTTCATATCTTAACTGATAAAATACAGCAAACTAATTATAGATCTGGATGATTTAAAAAAAAAGATACTATCCATTTGTCAAGCAGTCAGGTCAGTTGACCTGAACTTGAAAAAATGGAAAATTTGAAAAAAGAACTAATATTTCATTTCCTACTATTTAAGAAATGACCTCAAATTTCACTTCATTATAGTGTCCAGACAGTAACTTACTGTTACATGACTTTTATCAGCTCCAAAAACTTTTATTTTACCATGCATGGTGATTCTTTTTTTTAATAGCCGTGTTTGACTACGCATACCTCTGAAGAAGCCAGGGAACCTTAGTACAAGACAGGGCAGCTAGGATCTTGGCTCTTTCTGAGGCTACTTGGGAGGTTTTGTATTGATTGTAGGCAAAATCCCACTCCTTCTGTCCACCCTCTTTAATGGCTGTACAGTAGACAGTGTATTTCAGTCCAGGGTCAATTCTGTAGAACAAAGAAATACAGGAAAATATTAAAATGTTGATAACTTAAAAAACATATAAACACACACCCACTAATACATGTAACAGCTCAAAATCAAATGCTTATTTCATAACTTTAATATTAAGTTAAATTGACAGACTGGTAGCAGTATACTATGGTGCCCACCCAAACCCCACCCTTAAGTTTTTTTGCTGTATATTTAGGTTTGGAAATGTCTCTCCTAATCCTGTTTTACCATCAGGCTTCTGTCTGACTCAGGAACAAACCAAACTCCTTCTGATACATTAGTTTTATAAAGTGTTTATCAAGTAAATTTTTTCATTAATTTAATAATTTTTATCAGTTTTTAAACTGATAAAAGATTTGTCATAAGGCAGGACAGACATGTGAATTCCTTCACATGCCTTTTATAAAAACTATAGTAGACTACTCATAAGTAATCAATGAATCTTACTGATTATTATTGGGCTGGTCCATCCACTGTTTGAACTGTTCTACAGCTGCAGCCAGACACTCGGGGATGTCATAGGAGCATGCTGTGATGGCAACATTGGATCTCATATACCTGTAAAACAGATGAAAATAATCCAAAAAGTACATCGATCCAAACTCTAAGTTAATAAATACCGGGTACACACAATTATATTAAATTTCCCTCTTTTCTGTCATTTGTTTAAGCTTCTCTGAAATCAAAACTTGATCCTGAAATAAATAGATAATTACAAATTACATATCATATACCATGTTACTAACTAATAAATGACTTACGATTCTAAATGTGTGGCTCCTGTATTGTTCAAACCAATCTCATTGTAAATGTCTCTCACTAGATTCTGCATCTTTTTCTGCATGTCAATAAAACATGAAATTTGTTTATTAGGTGGAATAATCTAAGTTTGCCCTCTTTACACTAGTTAAAAGGAAGAGAATTTAGGATTAGGCCATTCCAAGTTTTTTCTATGTTTAGCGTCCGCATGCGCCTTGCTTTTTGCGCCAACTTTTGAAAATTCTCATGGGGGATTTTGCGCGTGACGACAATTTTCAAAGCTTTAAATTTGCGACATTTTGTCGTGAAAATAAATGATTATGAAATACTTTTTTAAAAAAATTATAATATTGATAGCACTTATTAATACAGCACAAATAAAACAATACAAATTAAAGTTTTATTTTTCCAAATTTAAATATCTTTGCTTAATAGTGTTACTCTGTTCTATCAGTTTACATTTTGTTTGTGGTATGTACCCTTAAAATCAAGTGTCACTTGATTCCCTAAAAGTAAGTATATAGACAGTGCATGATTAATTTTATCTCTCACACAAAACAATTTGGAGAAATAGGCCTAATTAAATCATGATTTTTTTAACACAAGCCCCACCCCCCACCCATCCCAAAGAAAATTAAAATTGTAAAAGACTACATTATGAACATGATGAACTTTTGCAGTCTTGGTAATGCCATATGGGTCTCTGGTATTTCCTCGACATATATGTAACAAAGAAATACAATGTACAATATGAGTATGATCTATGGGAGAATGGGGGGAGAAATTCAGTGTACCTAACATGAGAGTATTATTTAATCTAAATTATTTTCAATATTTTTTTAAACTGACAAATTATACAATATTTTTATTATTAGCAGTTAAAATCAGCAGCTATATATGCTTTGAAATTTTCTACTTTCGTTTTCAAAAAAACGATCTTTTTGGATTCCAATTTTATTGTTTGATTGTCATTTTATTGACTTTAATTTTTGTTTTTAATAAAATGACTACTAATTAAGCCCTTAATCTAAGTGTTTCACTTCGCATACCCCTTCAAACTGAAAAAGATTAGTCCCCTAACTGCTCCAGGCTATAAGCTACCTGTACCTGGACAGCTGCCTGTGCGTTCAATCGAGAAGTGATTTCCTGTGGCTAATAACTCTGCATGCTATGTAAACAATGAGACTTGTCTGTGTGCATTGAATAAACAACTCTGATATTCTTATCCCGATTGACAAAATTTGGCGGTAGGGAAACTGAAAATCTGAATTTTTTCAAATCGGGAAATTGGGGCAATTTTTCTCTCCCGATCGGGAAGGCAGGATGAAAGGGTAAAATCGGTAGAATCCCGCCTAAATCGGGAAAGTTGGCATGTATGTTTTTGACACCCCATATGAGAAAAAACACATAATAGGAGTCCTGAAATTGATAAATTTAGTCGAAATTTTTGAATTCTGTAAATTTCTCCAAATAATTCTGTACAGTAAGTTATATTGGGTGTATTGTAAGCATTTCATCCGTTGTTTTTGCTTAAGAATAGATATTTCTTCTATTAAAGCAGTTTAGTTAGATCAAATCATTTGAGAGAACGTCATATTTATGACTTTAAAGCTTGTGTTTTATGTTTTGGCTTGTGTGTTTTTTGTGAATAAGTAGGTAGGCTTTTGAAATATGAGTGAACGCTAAACAGAGAAAAAACTTGGAATGGCCTTAATTCAAATGACATTATCTCTTTAACATAACTGTGTCTGGGTGAATAAAAAGTAAGCCATCCATTTTTTTTGTGTAAAATGGCAAAAAATAATGTGGTTAAAATATGCATACAAAATATATTCCTTTTAAACAAGTGACAAGTTTTTTTCCCTCACAACTATGAAAGGAGTAAATGATGAGAGAAGATTAGGGTACAATGGCTGTCAGGGGTTAAAAGCTTACACTGAAATCTCCGTAGTACTTGGTCAGAGACAGCATGGTGTCTATGTAGGCCAGCTGTCCCTCCCCCGCCTGACGGGGAATGTAGTCCCTCTCTTTAGATAGATAGTCTACTGTCTCTAGAGCCACACTCATATCTAACTGGTTAGATCTGTAAGGAAAATAATTCTTATATTGTTTTAATTAATAAGTTAAAACTTATTTCAAAGATTTTTGTATAGCGGATTTGAGATTTATATCCCCAGTTATTCATTGCTCTGTGACCTTCAACTTTGTTCTAGATTCACTTTTAGGTCAAGGTCAATAATTTGCCAAATTTCAGTTTGATCTAATTCATTTAGACAAAAGCTAAAACCAAAATGTTCTCCTCTCATTGCCAAAGACTATTCTTTAAAGTTAAGCTATTCTTACCTTGCAAAGCTCCAGGCATCATTAATTATCTGAGCACGATTGATAGTGGATATGACCTGTATTCACAAACAAAAACATAAGTATCTATGTATCATAATAATCAAATCAATGAAACTTAATAAGCTACAGTAACTATTATGTACTTTTTAATGTACTTAAAAAAATACCCCTGTGTATGTACTGTATGTACTTACAGTATGATTTTGATTGAGTTGAGCTATCAGAGCTCTCCAGTTTGCCTCGGTATAATTGACCCTGTAGACGCCATACTGGTCTGTGTTAGCTATTATCCAATCAGAAGTCTTCACAGAAGGGTCAGCGAATTCTGAAACAAAATCATGGACATCACAAAAATCAATCCAGTATTGTAATACATGTATTTGAAATCTGCACATTCAAGGAGTGTTACCCTTTTTCAGTAAAATTTGTATATAAAGAAGTCATAAAGACAAGAATTTCTAGTTTCTTAAGTAAAATTCTTTCATCAAATGCATACAAAAAAAGTGGCATGTGAATGAGGACATGCAGATAAAAACTTTAAGATATTTTTATCTATTTTTCTAATCATTCTTTGTTTTATTTTCTAAATGAACTCTCAAACGTGCTCTAAACTCTATTTTTGCTCCGTAATTCCCCTTGCAATGTTAAATACATGTATGTGTAGTTAGTCCGATCTTTTACCTTGACTTGTTGTATTGAACCATTTCACATCATTGCTGTTCTTTTTAAAATTCTTCTCTGTCTTTGTCGTGTAGGTCAATGGCACCCACCATTTATAGCTAAAATTAACCATAACACTCCACAAGTCTACATAAAAATCTCACCAATTCATCAATCCAATGATATAAAAAAAAAGAGTTCTTGTGGACTAAAACCAAATTTTTTCCCATAGTAATGAAAAGCTGACATACCCAAATGGAGAAATGTAAACAAGTGGATCTTTAGCATCAGGGTTTCTTAGGAACCGATTCTGTGTTGCCCTGACGACTCCATCTCGTGGGACTGTCACCGTGACAACAGGGTAGTTCATTTGTTTGATCCAGGTGTGCATTATTGCTCGAATTGATGTTGGATACTGTAAATTTTTCTGCTGAACAATCTGTATTTTGGAGAAAAATAGTTCATATGCATCAACATCAGCATCAACATCTTTTTTTCTAAATTTTGATTTGTTTGCTTTAAGCCTCCATCTCAAACATGCTAAATTAGATTCAGTGTGAAAGATAACACATTTTACTCTAGAATCATTATATTCAAATTAGAGTAGAAAAGAAAGTTTCATGAAGTTTGTATTGGAAGTAAAATGACCTTGACATTAGAAATCAAAAATGACCTTGACATTCTATTAACTTTTCTAAAAATTTTATCAAGAAACTCACCGTATCCATGGCATCCCAGAGGTCATCGTGGAAGGCGTTCCCATACTTCCTACTCTCTAAATATAGCTGCAAAGAATAACACATCCTTCATAAATAATGAAACGGTATAAGTTGTCTAACAGAAGTATAAACTGTATCTGTAAACTTGCTTGTAGTGATTTTAATTGAAGAATAATATACCGTAAAACGAGAATATTTGGTGCACTACTAAATTTTAGTGCCTTTGGCGCAAGAGCCCCTGAGCACAAAAATTTATTGTGCGCTAACAGATTTCAAAATATTATTTTTTGTGTGTGTTCAAAGCTTTTACATAAGTACATTTAAACCGCAAGGCATGATTACGTAATGTTGAAGGGTCGTTGGATTTTTATAAACACACTTGCACTGCACATGGTAGGATCAATGGAGAAAGTTCTGCCAAATTATGATTTAATTAAACTATTGTTATATACCCCGGTAGTCGTTACATGTACCTGATTTTAGTCATTAGCACCTTCAAAGTTTGGCTTCTCGGCGTGTCAATCATCTAATCGCCTCGAGGTAAACAGTGCAATCAAGCATGGCGATTGAGCTTCCAGACATACCTGATTATGATTACCGTTTATCCAAGTAACTTTCTTCGGGTGTATGCATTGTTTTAATTTAAATAAAATGCATAAATTCTCCACTGCTTTTAATTTAAATAAAAATAAAATTAATTTTAACACCGTATCATGACACCAAGGTAAAGTTGACGAATATTTACTTATATACGGAAGCGCTATTGTGTTTCCGTGCTTGACTAACCAAAAAGTCAAATACGGGTGTGGATAAAAAAACAAATTATCAAATTTTTATATTTTCATGACAAGTGAAAGCGCTGAAATTTACTTGCGCCAATGCATTCCCACTTGCGTTTGCGCTAAAATACGTATGCGCCAAATTTTCACGTTTTACAGTATTTGCCATGATTTTTCTTCAAAGAAAACAAAATTGTTCTCTACTTCTTATTAAAGAGTTAGAAGAGTATGTATATGAATTTGCAAATGGACTAGAACTTTTGACATTCAGGTATTCATGCTTTTTCAGCAAAGAAAATTGTAACAAGCAAGGCTTCATAAAGGAAATTTGGTCTCTGAAGAGAGAAATTTTCCACACATAGATTAAGAACAAAATTTCTTCAGCATACACCAGTACTTACATTGAGGCCTTTTCTGAAGTTCTCCTCCCCCAAGAAAAACCTCATCATTCTGATGATGCTTCCTCCCTTAAAAACAAGGATAAACTTGGTGACTACTTTGATTTCAATGAAAAAAAAAAGAAAAGCTTTAAAAAATTACAGAAATATTGTCTAGAAAAATTCTTGTGAATCGATGAAAAATTGAGATCTCTTTTATGTCACAGTTGTTCCAATTTCAGATTTTCAAAGTTTTTCAGGTCCAATGTTCTTTCTTTACAAAATACGTTGCATTCACTGTCACAAGATGAAATGAGATATATAATCAGAGAATCAGCAAATTTCTTTTTCATTGGTTATACTGTAAAACATCAGTATGATTGAGATAATAAAAGTGCATACCATATGGCATTGATCATTCTATTACAAACCTTGGAGTATGATATTGTATCAAATACAGCATTCATTTCATCAACTGTTTTTATAGGCACATATATTGGATGAGATGTAACAAAGGCATCAATGCTGAATGTAGAATACAGCTCACTTAGAATAAACTGATCCCACTATGAAAAGGAAAGAATCTGAATATATAATATAATGTCATTTCAATAAAGATATTAACCTTATGAACTCTAATGTAGACAATTCATTTGTAAACATAGATCAAATCAGGTTTCATGTATACAGTAAAAAACTCCAACAATATGATTTTTTTTCAAACTCCTACTTTACTGTAACAGATAAATTGACACAGAAGCCAAACTGTTGTGTTTATCATGTCATAAAAATATTGCAATACAGTTAGACTGACATATTATGTTTTCCTTTAGAAGGTAACAAACCATTTTCCAATCTGGGAAGAGATGATCTGCCCCCATATATTCGACAAAGGTCGCGAACCCTTCATTGAGCCAAAGGTCATCCCACCACTTCATAGTGACCAGGTTACCAAACCACTGTAAAAAACACAATGATAAAATATACAGGTATGTACATGACTAAGTAATTTGTTTAAGAATACAATGTACTGTAATCCTATGTAAAAATTAAGCAGTTTTCGGAGAAAATCAAGTATATCCTTGCTTGATACAAAATTTTGGGTGGAGTTTAAAAGGGTTTTTATTTTCACAAAGTTCACTCGATGAGCCCGAGTGATAACTGGTTATAATTACCTGATAGCCAGTTCAGTAACAGTGGCTTTAATTACCTGATGAGCCAGTTCTATTTACTGGCTATAATTACCTGATGAGCCAATTTGTGAATAGTTACAGTGACTTTTATAAACCAGTTTGGAAGGTTTTTACAGTTGCTTTAATTACATGACGAGTTGGCTTTGATTTGCAAGTTGTAATTACCTGATGATCCAGTTTGTAAATAATTAAACTGGCCATTACTACCTAATGAGCCAATTTGTGAATAATTACAGTGGATATAATTACCTGGTGAGTCAGTTCATGAGTAATTACAGTGGCTATAGTTACCTGATGAGCCAATTCATGAGTAATTGTAGTGGCTATAATTACCTAGTGAGCCAGTTTGTGAATAATTACAGTGGCTATAATTACCTGATGAGCCAATTCGTGAGTAATTGTAGTGGCTATAATTACCTGATGAGCCAGTTAGTGAATAATAACATGGCTATAATGACCTGGTGAGCCAGTTCTGTAACAGTAGCTATGATTACCTGGTGAGCCAGTTTGTAAGTGGTGAGCCAGTTCGTGAGTAATTACAGTGACTATAATTACATGATTAGCCAATTCGTAAGTAATTACAGTGACTATAATTACCTGATGAGCCTCTTAGTGAGTAATTACATGGCTATAATGACCTGGTGAGCCAGTTCGTGAGTAATTACAATGGCTATAATTACCTGGTGAGCCAGTTCATGAGTAATTGTAGTGGCTATATTTACCTGGTCAGCCAGTTTGTGAATAATTACAGTGGCTATAATTACCTGATGAGCCAATTCGTGAGTAATTACAGTGACTATAATGACCTGGTGAGCCAGTTCTGTAACAGTAGCTATAATGACCTGGTGAGCCAGTTTGTGGGTAATTACAGTGGCTATAATGACCTGGTGAGCTAGTTCTGTAACAGTGGCTATAATTACCTGGTGGGCCAGTTCATGAGTAATTACAGTGGTGACTCTCTGTCTATTTCCTTCTGAGGAGACTCCTGGTTTAAACAACATGGCGGTCTCTCTGTACGTAATTAAGCCCCAGTTCTCCATAGCTCCAGCGGCAAAGTCAGGAATAGCAATCATGTCTGTAAATAAAACAGACAAGAGGCCCACGGGCCTTATAGGTCACCTGAGCATTATGCAACAACTTTCCAGTTATTGAATTTGATTCATGTTTTAAGCCAGATGCTATATGGCATTCACAATTTTGAAAGAGGCACCATTGATCATCATAACAATACACTTAGCAGTTGCTTAGCTTGGTTACTGAATACCCATACGCAGGGTAGGGGAACAATATTGCATTTCAACTAATCAGTAATATTCAGCAATAATCAGAAGTGCCCCTAACACTGTGACATAAACCCCTGACCCTAGGTCCACACATTGCACAAATTTTTTAAAGGCACCCTTAAAATTGCCTATCCAAAAAAAAAAAATAAATGTTATATAAATATAAAGGAGCAGATTTCAAACAATTAATTCATTTTCAGTATATAAGTAGAGCCCCCCCCCACCCCTGGGGCCTTGAATTCACAATTCTGCAAGAGTAGGGCCCTTGCTCATCATAACTATAAAAGTAGTTCATCTGCTTCATACCCAGAGACAGAGAAGAAAATTTTCAAAGATTTAATGCATTTTCACTATATAATCAATAGAGCCTCGCCCTAACACCAGAGCCCCTGACCCTGGGGCCATAAAATTCATAATTTTAGAAGAGGCATTCTTGCTCATCATAACTATGTACTTAGTTAGTTTATTTAATACCTAGGAGCAGAGAAGAAGATTTTCAAAGAATTCATGCATTTTCACTATATAATCAATAGAGCCCCCCCCCCCTCCCCACACCAGAACCCTTGACCCTGGGGCCATAAAATTCATAATTTTGGTTGAGGCACTCTTGCTTATCATAACTATGCACTTAGTTAGTTTATTTGATACCTAGGAGCAGAGAAGAAGATTTTCAAAGAATTCATGTATTTTCACTATATAATCAATAGAGCCCCCCCCCCCCCCCCCACACCAGAACCCTTGACCCTGGGGCTATAAAATTCACAATTTGGGTAAAAGTACTCTTGCTCATCATAACTATGCACTTAGTTAGTTTATTTAATACAAAGGGGCAGAGAAGAAGATTTTCAAAGAAATCATGTATTTTCACTGTATATAATCAATAGAGCCCCACCCTAACACCAGAACCCCTGACCCTGCGGCCATAAAATTCACAATTTTGGTAGAGGCACTCTTGCTCATCATAACTATGTACTTAGTTGGTTTATTTAATACCCAGGAGCAGAGAAGAAGATTTTCAAAGAAATAATGCATTTTCACTATATACTTATTTAGCCCCGCCCTAGCACTAGAACCCCTGACCCTGGGGCCATGAATTTCACAGTTTTGGTAGAGGACTCAATGCTGATTACAATCATGCAAACAGTTTGACTGCTTGATGTCCAGGAGTAAAGAAGAAGATTTTTAAAGATTGCATTAATTTTAGTGGTTTTGGCCCCACCCCTCAGGCCCCAGGGGGGCAGGGATCATGAAATTCACAATTTTTGTTCCCCTTCACCCATAGATGCTTTGTGCCAAATTTGGTTGAAACTGGTTCAGCGGTTGCAGAGAAGAAGCTGAAAATGTTCAAATGTTAACACACGACGCACGACGGACGACGACGGACGAAAACGGATAGCAATAGGTCACCTGAGTTTACTCAGGTGACCTAAAAAGGTTAGATAGGGACTTGAACATGTTGAAAAAATGAACCTATTGACTGTCCACAGAGGCAAATTCAGGAAAAGCGATTATGTCTGAATATGGAAAATATCACTAAATATTATTAGCAAAATTAGCATAAGATTGATAAACTGTCAGTTTCTTCAACAATAAATGATAAACGATCATGAGGAAAGTCCCACAACTTTTAATATGACTGTAGTGGAGCTGTAAATCCAGATGAGGTAGTCAACAAATCATTACACATAAGTTTTAACTGAAAAAAATGTCATATTTGAAAGTTCAATTTAAATTATAGGTTAAGAACTGACATTTTCCCCATAAAGCAAATTCCATGAAGTATAATCAGAGTCAGGGTTCGACACTAACGGTAGACCGGCGGCCCGAGTCCACCAAAAAATTGGAAGGTCCACCAAATGTTTAGGACTAGGTGGACCGTCGGTCCACTTAAAATTTAAACACCATATTAAAAGGAAGTGAACTTCCAGGGTTTCTTTTTCTTTCAATCGAAATCCGTAACTCAAATTATTAATTCCTCCATACCTTTATTATACAAGAATTAAATATACATGTAAATAATGTTTAGGTAATGAGGGGGGGGGGGGGGCAGGCAAGCAACTCGATATATTTTACTTGTAAAATTGATAACTCCAATATTAACAATATTTATTGAGACGCAAAAACATTCAACACGGACCTTAAATAAGCATGAAAAATCCGTGCCAAATTAGCCAGTCTCTCCTCTGTTTACGTAATGCACAGAAAGTCTTCTAGCTATTCCCACTTTTTAAAAATCTCAATTCCACCTATTCCCACTTGCAAATAAGAAGAGATGTTTAGATTTACCTGTATTTTGTACATTTTAAGACAGAAAATAATGAATACATCAATGAGAAAATATGATTTATTTCGGATTTTTGAACTAATAATAAGATCTTACAAGAAAAAGTAGCTTAATACCTAAATTTAAGAACATAGTTAATTATTTGTTTACACACAATTCCACCTACTCCCACATAAAATCTTACCTTTTATCTTACCTTTTCTTACATGATTTTCAAAAAGTGGGAATAGGTAGAATGAACCACAGAAAGGTGTGAAAATAACATTGGGTATTTAAACAGGAAATCTCTTCACGCCTGAATGCACATTGTTAGAGATAATTAGAATTGATTGACAGCTGCACTTATGCATTGTTTTCTTTTTTTAAATATATGTTCAAACAGGCGTAATCTACATTAAATGAACTGCAGTTTCATTTTCTTTTCTTGATATACATGTTATATCACTATTTATTTGAATAAATAATTTTAGAAAATAATTTATTCATACAGATACAAGTACCTATGTCAGTTTTGCACCGTAGTAAAAAAAAAATGATCTAGCCATGGATACATGAAAAATTCACTTGTTTAATAATTGAACAAATTAATTAATAATTGGAGTTTTAAATTTAATCTGCCTGTGGAAGCAAAATAAATGCAGGTTTTCACCATTGTAACTTAATGATAATTATTAAAATATTTCTTTGGTTTGTAGATTAATTTTTTTTTTTTTTTTTTTTTTTTTTTTTTTTTTTAAGTTTTACAATATTTCTTTAAAAAAAATCTGACTAGTCCTTATATTGAGTTGATTCTGTTGACTGGTAAGATTTATGCTTTATTGGTCTGTCTGGAATCTGTATATACCCGGTATTAAAGCTAGTTTTAATTAATGCCTTGTTTAATGATTCATTCATTAATTCAAACTTTTATAAAGGTCCACCAGATATTAAGAAGGTCCACCAATGATTTTTGACAAGTGGACCTGCGGTCCACCAAGGTAAAAAAGTTAGTGTCGAACCCTGAGAGTGATACAAATCATACCCTTCAAGGTATAATTTTGTTCCCATTTTATTTTTTTTAAATACTGGCTAGAAAATCAATCTTAATTGTAATGGAACCATCCTCCCTTTGGATTTAATAAGAAAAAATGAATATCAATTATGCTTAATAAAAGAAATCTCAAAGACATACAAGTGTACCTTGTTTTTTCAGTGGGAAAGGGATGTCGAAATACTCTTCATAATAAGTGATGGTTTTGTTTCCGACATCCAGACCAAACTTTGTATCATTGACGGCCTCAGGCAGAGACCAGGCACTGTACTGTAATGGACAAATCGGGAATTTAAATGTAATATATGGCCATCTTTATAAAAAAATTTTGATTGCCCTCTCCTGACCGACTGACTACATGTAAAAAACGGCTTGACTCTAAACTTTTTTTTTTTACATTCCAAGACAAGATATTTTTTTCTTTTTATTCCTCTTATCCAGTCAACAAATATGTTTAAATTTTCTGGAGAAAAGATTTTATCCACCTACCGGGTACTTACTGATCTGATAATTTTACCCTGCATTGGGAGAGGGCAAGCAAACATTATTTTAAAGATAGCCTTCACTATTATTTTTTCTGGCATACCCCTCTCCCTTTCCATATTAATTTGACAAACACCAACACCTCAGTCAACTCCCCTTTTTTCCAATTTTATTCTTGGATATCAAATGTACTGTGGAATCAATGTCATCATTGTTCATGGGGAAAAAAATGTTTGTGCTTTTTGTGGGTCATGTTGAACCCAAGAAAGAACATCACCACAAATGATGACTTTGTCCATGTATAGCATCAATAAATCTTAAGTATAGGAGTTTTCCACAAAACTAGGTCCTAAAAAATCAGTACAGATTTGGGTGCCTATAATGATTTATCATAACCTGCATGGAAGTCAATCTCATATTATCAATTAAACAGTTTCCATTATTAGTACCTTCAAAGGCTTGATTCTAGAAAATGTCTATAAAAATTATACTTTTGGTGACAATTACATTTATTATAAATATTTGTACAACCATGCTGTTCAAAAGAAAAACTTACAATTATTCCATTTTTGGTGGTGGTAGTGGTCTTCTCAAACTGACAGACAATAAAAGCTAATAGGTATGTGGACATTCGAGGAGTTGTGTCATACACATCTGCCACAAAGTTATTTTCCCTGCAAAAATTATTTTTTAATACTATTATTCTCCCTTAGAAACATTTCAGGAAATTTAGTAGAGAAACAAAATGCATTTAATGTAGAATCACCAAGATTTATTAAAAAACATAGGTAATCAGAGATTACAGAGCTCACCTCAACGAATGTTATCTTTAAGTAAAGCAAAGTCACACAATTAACAAACAGAAAGTGTACATTCCAAAAATGAAAATATTTAAGCAATTTTGATCTGATACTTTGAAATAGACCAATATAAAAAATTAAAACTAGTTCTTCTTCATGAAAATGTAATTAAAATCCAGCATCTGAAGCAAATTTGAGAGTTTTCATCCCTTGATGCATCATTTGTGCAAGTTTGGTTTACACAATGTTATATAAGCCTATAGTTTTTTGGTAATAGACCTGCACCCATAACTTTTACCTGGTCCATTACCTGAAAAATGTATGTCGAATTCAGCATCCGACGCAAGTCCATTAGTGTGCATAATAAGATGTATCGTCCATGCAAGTTTGCTCATTATAGGGGCTCATAGTTAATTGGAAATGAAACCTGCATCAAAAACTAACATTTTCACTCATCCACAAAATGTAGGTCAGATTCAGCATCCAAAGCAAGCCTGGTAGTATGCATCCTTAGATGTATCATCCATGCAAGTTTGGTCATTAAAGAACTCATAGTTACTTGGAAATGTATCATGCACCAAAAACTTTAACCTGTTCACTCAACCGGAAAACGTAGGACAGATTCAGCATCCGAAGCAAGCCTGGTAGTATGTATCCTTATATGTATCATCCATGCAAGTTAAGTCATTATAGGGCTTATAGTTACTTGGAAATGAAACCTGCACCAAAAACTGTAACCTGTTCACTCAATCGGAAATTGTAGGTCAGATTCAGCATCTGAAGCAAGCCTGGCAGTATGCATCCTTAGATGTATCATCCATGCAAGTTTGGTAAACATAGGGCTTATAGTTACTTGGAAATGAAACCTGCACCAAAAACTTTAACCTGTTCACTCAACCGGAAAATGTAGGTCAGATTCAGCATCCGAAGCAAGCCCAGTAGCATGCATCCTTAGATGTATCATCCATGCAAGTTTGGTCAACATAGGGCTTATAGTTACTTGGAAATGAAACCTGCACCAAAAACTTTAACCTGTTCACTCAACCGGAAAATGTAGGTCAGATTCAGCATCCGAAGCAAGCCCAGTAGTATGCATCCTTAGATGTATCATCCATGCAAGTTTGGTCAACATAGGGCTTATAGTTACTTGGAAATGAAACCTGCACCAAAAACTTTAACCTGTTCACTCAACCAGAAAATATAGGTCAGATTCAGCATCCGAAGCAAGCGCGGTAGTATGCATCCTTAGATGTATCATCCATGCAAGTTTGGTCAACATAGGGCTTATAGTTACTTGGAAATGAAACCTGCACCAAAAACTTTAACCTGTTCACTCAACCGGAAAATGTAGGTCAGATTCAGCATTCGAAGCAAGCCCGGTAGTGTGCATCCTTAGATGTATCATCCATGCAAGTTTGGTCAACATAGGGCTTATACTTCCTTGGAAATGAGACCTACACCAAAAACTGCACCCAAAATGTTAACCTGCTCCAAAAACATTAACCTGGTCATTCCTTTGCTGAAATTGCAGCATCTGAAACTTTGACTGGTACAATGAAACACATTTAAAGCATCTTCCATGTATGTCTAATCAATATAGGACATAGAAGTATTTAAAATGAAAACTGCTCCAAAAAACTTAACCTTAACCTGGGACGCCGACACCGACGGTATTACATAAGCTCTCCCAACTTCGTTGAGGTGAGCTAATAACTGTTTGTTTACTTGTTCTTATATTCTAGGATCTGCATATTGGACAAGGATTTGAAATCATTTCGTCGCACCAGGGTGACCTTGAACATGGCCTTCATGTCAGGTTCGTCAAAGCAAGGGAAGGATTTTCTGGCATCCACAGGTTCCATCTGAGTTGTGGCCAAAAATCTGAAAAATAAGGAGCAAATCAAAAAAAAAAAAGCAATTTGAACCTGATGGGACTGTTAAAAAACTTTGAGATATCCAAGGATTCGAGATATCAAGGGTAAAAAACTTTTAGAATTCATGGTTGGGACTTCCACATCACTTGGACATATCCATGTTATTCAAGATATCAGAGTTCAAGATACCACAGTTCAGCTGTATTATCAGAATCTAAAGATAACATTGGAGATGACCACCCCTAAATGCACTGAACACTGTTAAATGTGACATCTTACTTGGTTTGATTGTTGCTGGTGTAGGTGCTATAATAGAGACCAGCCAAGTCATCCTTAAGGGGACCAGAAAACTTCAAGCTCAGCTCATACTGCCGTCCCGGTACCAGCTCGGTGTTCAGCTTAAAGATCGAGAACATGAGTTCCTCCTCACGAGACAACGAGCTGAACAAGTTACCTCCCCCTCCCACGGCCTTCACTTCAATGGAGCTCTCCTCGATCGTGATCATGTTACTGTGTAACGTGATATTCTTGGTTCTTGCCGTGACGTTGACGAGGAGCGTCAGATTTCCAGAGAAAGTGAAATTTTTTGGGTTGGGTTGATACAGGTCTGGGAAGAGTTCTAGGGTGTATAGTTCCGGTAGTACAGAGCGAGGGAGGCGAACGTTTCTGTTGACCTGTTTTGTGGGGGCCGTGCGGTCCAGCCATTTCTGTATGATGGGGAGGTTCTTTTTCATCCATTCTACACTGGCCTGGACCTTCTCGATGGCCTGCTCCCCGGCCCTGGTGGCTGACCCCAGATCTCTACCCTTTATGAAGTCCTTCAGCTGAAAACAAATAAATACATCTGTCAGATTCTTCCTCTCTATTGAAAAATGGCTATGTTTTAAATAAATTATCAGCCAGTCAATCTAAATGTCCTTCAAGTTGAAAGTATAGAATTTACAAATTTTCACATCATGTGCTTTTTGCTGACTTACATTTAGAGAATGATTTTGTTCAATGAAGTTTAAAATACTTTAATGACTTAATGTCAATGATCTTTTTAAAATCTTTTTTTATCATATTGTAGAAGGTACCTGTTGCAGTTCTAATTCAGTATTAAATGACTCTGTGACTCCAGATATAAGACGAGAAAAGGAGAACGATCCCCCACCATAGCTAGAAAATCAACAGGCTCAACATGCAAACACATCAACTTCACATCACAACATTCACATCAACTTCTTCAACATTAGCATCAACATCATCATCAATATTAAACAATCAACAATAAGTTAAATCATGCACTTTTAACCAGTACCTCTAATAAACAATAAAATTCCTTGAATCCATGCAGACTAATATACTCTAAGGCCAAAAAAAAATTAGTCTCTCTGGTACAGCTGCATTAAGCTGAGTGCTATTCACTTTCAAACATTAAAAAGAGGAATAAATTATTTTTTTCAGAACTGAGCTTTTCACATTTTCATTACTATAGATTTGGGAAAAAGAAAGATCAATCTTGCAATTAAAATAACACAGCCTGCTAAATTTTGGAGAGAAATATTTGACCACAGAAACTAAATAATAATTTTCTTGGCCTTGGTGAAAGGTACAACATTCAACATTCCAACAATGTTCAATAATAAGTCATGCATTTCACTGGATAGTAAGATTTTAATGCAATGAATATGTCAGGTAGAATGATCCTTTCATCCAAGTGTAGTTTAGTGTGTTATCAGAAAATTTAATGAAACAATTTGGAAATGAAAATGAAAATCTAGATAATTTATACACAACAAAACAAGAGAACAAATCGTAAAAGAAAAGAGTAGTTTGAAAATTAACTTTCTAGAGCAGAAACTTCAAAGAGAACATTCAACCTTTAAAATAAAATTAAAAACATCTGCTCACATAAAAAACAAATGTGTTCACAAACACAAACATAGGTAATCAGAGATTACAGAGCTCACCTCAACGAATTTTGTCTTTAAGTAAGGCAAAGTCACACAATTAACCAACAAAAAGTGTACATTCCAAAAATGAAAATATTTAAGCAATTTTGATCTGATACTTTGAAATAGACCTACATAAAAAATTTAAACTAGTTCTTCTTCATGAAAATGTAATCAAAATCCAGCATCTGAAGCAAATTTGAGAGTTTTCATCTCTTGATGCAACATTTGTGCAAGTTTCGTTTATACAATGTTATATAAGCCTTATAGTTTTTTGGAAAAAGACCTGCATCCATAACTTTTACCTGGTCTATTATCTGAAAAATGTATGTCGAATTCAGCCTCCGAAGCAAGTCCATTAATGTGCATCCTAAGACGTATCGTCCATGCAAGTTTGCTCATTATAGGGCTCATAGTTAATTGGAAATGAAACATGCATCAAAAACTAATATTTTCACTCATCCACAAAAAGTAGGTCAGATTCAGCATCCGTAGCAAGCCAGGTAGTATGCATCCTTAGATGTACCATCCATGCAAGTTTGGTCATTAAAGAACTCATAGTTACTTGGAAATGAATCATGCACCAAAAACTTTAACCTATTCACTCAACCAGAAAATGTAGGTCAGATTCAGCATCCGAAGCAAGCCTGGTACTGGTAGTATGCATTCTTATATGTATCATCCATGCAAGTTTGGTCAACATAGGGCTTATAGTTACTTGGAAATGAAACCTGCACCAAAAACTTTTACCTGTTTACTCAACCAGAAAATGTAGGTCAGATTCAGCATCCGAAGCAAGCCCGGTAGAGTGCATCCTTAGATGTATCATCCATGCAAGTTTGGTCAATATAGATCTTATAGTTACTTGAAAATGAAACCTGCATCAAAAACTTTAACCTGTTCACTCAACTGGAAAATGTAGGTAAGATTCAGCATCCGAAGCAAGCCCAATAGTATGCATTCTTTGATGTATCATCCATGCAAGTTTGGTCAACATAGGGCTTATAGTTACTCAGAAATGAGACCTACACCAAAAACTTTAACCTGTTCATTCAACCGGAAAATGTAGGTCAGATTCAGCATCCGTAGCAAGCCAGGTAGTATGCATCCTTAGATGTATCATCCATGCAAGTTTGGTCAATATAGATCTTATAGTTACTTGGAAATGAAACCTACACCAAAAACTTTGACCTGTTCACTCAACCGAAAATGTAGGTCAGAATCAGCATCCGAAGCAAGCCCGGTAGTATGCATCCTTAGATGTATCATCCATGCAAGTTTGGTCAACATGGGGCTTATAGTTACTTGGAAATGAAACCTGCACCAAAAACTTTAACCTGTTCACTCAACCGGAAAATGTACGTCAGATTCAGCATCCGAAGCAAGCCTGGTAATGTGCATCCTTAGATGTATTATCCATGCAAGGTTGGTCAACATAGGGCATATAGTTACTTGGAAATGAAACCTACACCAAAAACTGCACCAAAAATGTTAACCTGCTCCAAAAACATTAACCTGGTCATTCCTTTGCTGAAATTGCAGCATCTGAATCTTGGACTGGTACAGTGAAAGACACTAGAAGCATCTTCCATGCACGTCTGATCAATATAGGACACAGAAGTAATTAAAAAGAAAACTGCTCCAAAAAACTTAACCTTAACATGGGATGCCGACGCCGACACCGAGGGTATCACATATGCTCCCCCCAACTTCGTTGAGGTGAGCTAAAAAGAACATGCAGTTCACAACAAAACCCCAAATGAACATGCCTGATTATTTATACTACATGACTTACTCTTTCCTGAGTTGGTCCCAGTTCTGTCTCACGAAGTTCCACACCAGGCCTTTGCCAATCGTGTTCCGCGAGATGTAGGTTATGACAGTGGTAGCGTCCTGTTTGCGAACCACATTTGTGTCCAGAGCATACTCAAGGTACCTGTAAATCAAAAAGAGTGTAAAGATATGTGAACCACGTTTGTATCCAGAGTGTACTCAAGGGACCTCTAAGTCAAAAATAATGTAAAGAAAGTCCTGTCTGGATGCTTAAGGTTTACAGTGTATGAAAAGAATTTCAAGTTTCCAATTGAGCTAACCTTGCATGTACAGAGCTGCCAACATTCTGAAATGATAAATAGTAAGGCGGGGTCTAGGGACCACCTAGGCCCCCTGCCGCTGAAGATGTTTTGTAAATGGACATGTAATCTGAGGCATGATTCCATTTTGTTTACTTTAAAACATTGACAGTAATGTGAACGGCCTTCTAAAACCGAAACGATACAAGCAAGCGTTGTAAGAATTATGAATATATTATAATAGTAGAAACTAAAGACTGTCAGCTATGAAAATACCGGTATTATATACTTTGAACGAGAAAAACTGAAATCGGAGGAATATAGAGAGAAATCGTACGGCGTATTTTAGACGCTGATTTTGTATGCCTTACGCCAAAATCGTAAGGGTTGGCAGCTCTGCATGTATCCCAAAAGAATATATTGATAAAGTCAAAATTTAAATGTATTTTCATTCTATAAGGACTAGAAATCCCTAGAAATTGGGTGTCTGACAATCACACATCATTCAACAATTGTATATTTCTTTATCCTGCTAATTATAAGCAGCCATGTCTATTTTGAACAAAAAACAACTGCTCTAATCCCACTAAAATTCTATATACACTTACCTGCTCAGCAGCCATGTTTGTTTAGAGCAGGACATAGCGTACAGAAATCTACTGCTCTCTGAGGCCAGTGTAGAGTCCTTGTATTGCTGTAGGACAAAGTCCCACTCACTCTCTCCCCCCTCGGCGACCCCTGTACAGTACACCATCGTCTTCAGATTCGGATCCACACTGAAAACAAATAAAATTTTATTCTGCTGCAACTAAATAGTTTCTGCATTGAAGACACTGTAATACAAATGCTCAGTTTTAATAACAAGTCAGAACACTATCAAGTGTTAAAACTGAATTAGACAGGTAACTTATAGGTTTAAAGTTGGATTGGACTGTCATTACTCTCAGATTGGATGGAATATTGACAGTTTTAATATTGGATTGGATGGAAAAAAATTACAGGTTTTACTTCTGTGTAGTCAGAATACTTAAAGGTTTACTATTGGATTGGATGAAATACTTACAGGTTAACTGTCGGATTAGACATCCACTTGTCAAAGATGGCCTTCACCTGTGTCCTACAGCCAGGGACATCATAGGTACAGGCCAAGTCAGCCACATCTGATCGTGTATAGCTGTAACAATAGGAAATAATTTTTTTTACATCAAACTGTATATTATCTTTTTGCTCTATCTTCTCTGTTTCAATGATTTTTATTTTCAAAAAACTGAGTACAAAACAAGTATTTTCATTGTTTTGCACAAAAGAACTCACATTTCTAGATGGTTTGAATTAGAGTTGTCCAGTCCAAGTTTTCCAAATGGCTTCTTCAACAGAGATGCCATGAAATTCTACAAGAAAAATAATCATCGTAAGAAAATGTTAATTATGTATTTCACGAATTTCTGATTTTATGTATGAGATTTGGTAAATATACACCTGCATATATTTTCCTTGTAAGTAAAATTATAAGCAAATCAACATTTTCCAAAAATGCTAGAGCTACAAGTTTAAAATGCTCATCTTAGCTCATAAAAAGAACGTATAAGAAAACAAAGTACATGTAAATATAAGAATTGCAAACACTCTAATGCAAATAAAGGATGCATGCAGAAAAACTCTCACACTGCAATGTCCTAATACGTCCACGTCAGTTATTTCACTCAACTCACAAAACATGTTGAATAACTTGGAGAACAAATTTTCAAAATTCGAAGTTACTGTTTTCTGTTCAGGTTTTTTTTTTTGCCCATTTGACCCCGTTTTCTATCGTACCTTGTACTCCCCATACAGAGGGGTGCGGACCAACATTTTACGGACGTACGACAGCTCCTTCTCCGCGGCAGTCCAGGGGACATAATCCATTTCAGCCCCCAGGTACTCTATGGTCTGAAGGGCTGTCTCCATTGGCAGTTCTCCAGCCCTGTGTTAATTAAAAGGAAAAAATTAGGAAGAAATTTTTTTTAATTCCCTTGTAGCCTTGTAAAAAGTAAAAATTTACTGTAAATTAATTTGCATGTGGAAATTACTTCATGTTACATCAAATATGCATCATATTAAAGGAAAGTATTAAATATAAAATAAAATACTCACTTAAAAAAAAATTAACTAAATTAATGCACTGCATATTTTAGTAAACTTACTTTGCAAGGGCCCAAGCATCATTAATCAGCTGAGCTCTGTTTGTCGAATAAATTACCTATGACAAAAAAAATCACTTGGTATCATCTTTTTGTCTGTCAAGAAAAGACATAACACCTTCTTCCATTAAAAAAAAACACTTTCTAAAAAAAACTTTTTAAAAAGACTGCATTGAATTTGAAATTTTAGCCTGAGAAACTCAAGATTAATTTTTCTGGCCTGAATGCTTGGCATTTTCTCTGAATAACTGTGTTTTCCACACAGAGGAGCTCTGCTCTAGAAAACTGATTCAAAATTGTACCTCATGATCTGCCTTCAATTGACCAATCAATTTATTCCAATTGTCGAGGTCATAGTTCATCCTGTAATATCCAATCGCCTGTACATTACCCAGAATCCAGTCTGCTGCTGGGATATTTGTTGGAATATCTTAAAAATATAAGACTAGTACTAATAATATATTTACAGGGGATAAATGTCTAATACTTAATATGTAAGACCTACATGTACATGTATATTGCACAATACCTATAGAATGAATTGAAAAATAATGTTATATTCTAGTTCTGTCAAGTTAATCACAAAAGGCGAGAAATTCATTTCACTCTAAGCCTTTAATCAATATAAGTGTTATGCCTTTAACACCATGCTTTCAGTTTCACAAATGGAACTGTTTATTTGACCTAGACCCTTATCTTAATAAATTTTCAAAAAAAAACATCTCTTGAACTCACTAATGTTGAAACTTATTTGTAACCAACGCTCAAGTTGCTGACATAAAATATTAGACAACTAGACAAATGCAATGACTGTAAATAAGGAGCACGAAATCTTAAGCAGAACAAATACCTTGGGTAGCATCATTGACCCATACTAAGTCACTGTAAGACTGATTAAACTTCTTATGAGCCTCTGTGGTGTATGTGAAGGGTATCATCCATTGGTATCTAAAACAAAACAACAACAACTTCATATCACTATATAGCAAACAGATCAAAGTAACTGTACATGTGTACTTAAAAAAGGGGGAGCTTCATATTTTAGCGGCTTTTGCATAGACACTGATGTGCAAATTTAAGAATACAGCTGAGTAGTCATACATGTAGTAAATACAATATATGGCATGGAAGTGTGAAGAGATAATTCATGAATTATACGGTTGAATACACCAAACCCAATGCCCAGTGATTGCACTAAACTTTGAATACACCAATTTATGAACACGAACAGTAATCTATCAAAATATTATACATTTATTTCTTTCTTATATATTTTTATTAATTTCAGACTGTGTGCAAAAAATGGGGGTCTCACCCAAATGTAGAATTGTATTTCATGGGATCTTTGGCCATTGGGTTGGCCAGGAAGCGTTTCTGAGTTACGCGCAGGCGGCCATTGTCCAGTCTGGTCACCTTGACCACAGGGTAGTTCATCTGTAGTGTCCAGGTGTCCATGACAACCTTCACGTCAAGTTGGTGACCATTTTGTTTTGCCAGCTGATAAAAAGAAGCATGAACATTTAGAGAGTATTTCTAAAATTTTGTAATGTTATCTACAGAGAAATCTATCCATTCAAACATGCACTTGGGGAGAAATACATGTATGTCAAAAGAGACAGTATATTGTGTTAGACTGCACAGTCTTAAAACCATTGGAAATAACAAAATGGCAATCTAATGAAGTCAGATTAGGGAGTTTTTACTGGTACATTTTATTTTAATTTATTATCTTTTTTTACCTTTTAACATGTTGAAAGTTATATGATTTACAAAAAAAAAAAACAAACTTTTACATAGGTACCAAAAAATAAATCTACAAGCAATTTTTACAATTCATTTTTTTTCAATTGTTTATCTTGTACAGTCAAACTTGTTTTAAGAGGCCACCTCTGGGAAGTCTGGAAACTGGCCACTTAAGGAGGCTCATTACACCACTTTTTGATGACGTACTACACAAAAAAATAAACCTCCATTGTTTCGACCGCTTCCCTCTGGGGACGATTAGTACAGGTACCTCTATAATATGACCCTGACCTTTAAAGCGCTTTAAAAATAGGTGAAACATGCGGTGTTATAAACAGTGAAAACAAAGTAACGGATTCATTATGCATGGACCAAGAAGGATTACTTTTAAGCAGAAACAAAAGAAATCAACAGCCAAATCTTCGCCAAACAAGTATTGTGCAATTTCATAGCGATGCATGCAGTGAGCTATATCAATGACATGTTTGTATGGGGGAAATTCGAGTTTAAATCTACAACCTTATTGAAATTAAAAAAGTTATTTACTTGCACTATTTACTGTGTTGGTGTTAATTTATATATTTGCTTTATTGATTTAAATATATACTCTGGCAATTTAAAGCTTTATCTGAATTTTAGATGTAATGTTCAAACGTTCCTTAGTGTTTTGAGTCTTGGCTTATTAGTAAAGATAACTCTTGAAAGTGGACTTTTTATACCAAATATTTTTTAAACTGGCATTTTCATTTCGTTTAAACATTTTTCATTCAATTTGTCATATGTAATTCATTGAAATACATTCCTTGTCTCTTCAAAACTCATTTTCATGTTTTGTGCACAGATTAAAAAGATAATGATATTAATTGTTTTTTAGGAGAAAATTATTTTTTCTAATAAAATTAATATTAGGTATTATGAGTAATTTTCACTGTTTGTAGATGTCTCAAGAATGTGCCCATCATTTGACACTGAAAGTTCTGAAATTCTGGTAACAATAAACTTGAAATAAAACATTTCACTAAAATTAGACAAAAGCTAAAAAATTCTCTAAAAAATATTTATGATATCAATACCTCGTTTTGGATATTTGACATCTACATAATAAGTGGTGCTGTAATGAAAATCTTAAATAAACTGTGGATGTAATGAGCCACCTTAAGACAGGTGGCCTCTTATTCCAGTTTGCCCTCGAAGGACATTTGCTCAATAAATAAACAACATTAAGCACAACAGTTTAATTGATTAATCATAATTAAACAGTTCAATTTCACAAAAGCTTTTTATGTGTATATTTAATAATTAAAGCTCATTTAAAAAGAATATTAAAGAATTCGAAATGTTTAAGGTTTTGTGCATGTTTCTGTTCCTACATATAAGTTAAACATCTTGCATTCATAAGTGTGCTTTTGTTACATTGAATTATTAAAAATTTAAAAATCTTTCAATTTTCATTTGAAGAAATACATCCTTTTTATAAAGAAAAAAATACACAAAAATACAGTTTAATGGTTAATAAAATAAATCATAGGAATTTAAGTAAAAATATGTCAATAAAAATTTCATTTACATATGTTAAAAAGATAGTCAGCAGTGTAACACCCCCCCCCAACTTAATTAATCGGTAATTAACTTACTTGCTGAAGTTTATAAAGTTTGATTAACTTTATTGTTTATAAAGCTGTCAGAATTTCTATATAACATACACAGACACACAAATAAAATTAACCAGTTGACCAAAGATATGTATTTACGCAGTTGAAAATCATTCCATAACACAGGTGTCAAATGCAGTAGATCGTGAATAATCCCTATCGATCCTCTCTTGATAGTGAAATTCATGAGATAATCATGCCATATGAAGCACTTTGTTTTTACAAGAGTAGCAATTAGAGCTTCTACATGGAATCAAAATCTGAAAGGTGTGAATTTCTTTAGCCTGAGGAAAGTATCAATTGTACAGTAATAAAATTCTTTTAAAGATCCTGAAAAATAATTACAAATTGATCTAACAGGACAAATATTTCTTTTTCATAAACACAAACTGAGTTCAGCGTATCTAAAAGCAATTTCTTTAATTGCATTAATAGGTTAAATTGACTATCGAGAATATAATTACCCAAGCCAACACGTTTAAAAGATGTGATAGAATCGCAACAAGTGACGAAATGGCCGCCTATTACAGTGTCAATAAGGCTGTTTGGGGAGGATTTGAGTGGCCGCTGGCCACGTTACACAGGTGGCCGTTTATTCCAGTTAAAATATGTAGTAAAAATCATCGGGGGGAATTGAAAGTGGCCGCTGACTGCAAGTAGCCGTTGATTTCGGGTGGCCGCTAAGACAAGTTTGACTGTAGTTGTTTTATATACAGTTACCAAACTCTAACCTTTGTCATGGAGTTCCAAAGATCATCATGGAAAGAGTTGCCATACTTCCTGCTATTTAGATAATCCTGATAAAACAAGAAATAAACACCCATTAAAATAATACTAATAAGACATTACAATTAACTTGCTGTAATGCTATTTCACCTTGTATAAACTATTGCAGTACCATCATTTATGCCTATGAAGTATATAGAAATTTTCATCTTATTTATGCCATTAAGAACACTAGGTCCAGTAAAATCCAAATTGATATGACAAACCCCCAATCATACTGTATAAAATCATATAAATGCTACAGTTACGTAGCTTTCTTATAAATACCGTATAAGTGGAAATTTTAGCGAGACGCAAATTTAGCGATTTGTCCTTAAAAACTGGTAATTTATTTTTAGCAAGACGTTATTTAAGCGATTTTGAAATGCACATTAAAGAAGCTGTTACAAATGAAACGCGATTAATTTTTAGCGATATTCATTTTTAGCGATCTCGGCACCCTCGCTAATAATGCCAAAATTAAATCCTCGCTAAAAATTCTACTTATACGGTATAATGTTCTGAGAATTTGTTATCTGTTACCGTTAATCCTGCTCTAAATATCTTCTCTCCTAAGAAAAACCTCATCATCCTGATTATACTGCCACCCTGATAATCAAAAACAAAGATTTCTAAAATTAATTTTAAATCAAATACATGTTTGACCAAATCTGCAGGCCAAATTACAATGAGCATTGAAAGGATTTCTCTCAGAACAATTTCAAGTGATGTACATGTAAATCTTAATTGCATTTCACTTGCCTGGCACTTCATGAGTTTGTTCCCCTTGATACATACCTTAGAGTAGGAGATTTTGTCAAATATTTCGTTAATTTGCTCGGGATTGGCGACAGGTACGTAGATCGGGTGTGACGTCACCAGACCGTCGTAATCAAAGGCCACCTGGAGGTCTTCTGTCACAAACTGGTCAAACTGAAAACACACAAAGTTGGGATATAAATTTATATACCATAAAATCACATATTTTTCTGGGATCAAATTTTCGAGACTTGAGAAATATTGGTTTTGGGGATTTGATTTTGTGGTTGGAGAAGTGTTCAGTGGTTATACATATTTTTACATTCGAGGTGGTAATAAATTTGTCTATCTCTCCATACCTTGAAAACAAGGAAAACTGAACCCCCCACAAAAGGCAGTAACTTCACAGTACATGCATGTAGGTCCATTTTATAAAATATATTAATTCTTCCAGTACATACAGTAGTCCAACAGAGTAGGAAAATATAGGAAATTTCTATAAACATCAGTTCAAAGGGAATGTGATCAAAAAATTAAAAGGAAGCAAGAGATGTTTGTAAAACACTTATGACCCCCCCTCCCCCATATAATTGGAATTTTTCTAAGTCCAAGGGGCATAACTCTGTCCAAAATGGTAAGATCGTACCCAAAACAAAACTTGTCCTAGATATTCTTATGATAAATCTGTATACCAAATTTCATTTCAATATGTGCAACCTCTGCGAAGAAAATGAACGGAAACTGCAAATTATTGGAATTTTTCTAAGTCCAAGAACATAACTCTGTCCATTTTGTCTAATCGTACCCAGAACAGAATTTAAACCTAGATATTCTTATGATAAATCTGTATATCAAATTTCATTTCAATATGTGCAACCTCTACGAAGAAAATTAATGGAAACTGATGGTGGACCAACAGACAGGCCGACCGACAGACAGCAGCAAAGCAATAAAGAGGGGCATAAAAAATATACTCAACAAAAAAAGAAACGCATATTGTTTTACTCGTCAAAGAAATTTTTAAAATGTACATGAAACAACTTTTTTTTATATCATTGGATACCTGTGACCTATTTAAAGGACAACATGGGGTTTTAAAACCCAAGTGTTGAATTATCTCCCTTGATTAAACATGTTTATGAAAGTAGTATTTTTCATGATTTCTTCTAAATCAAATGTCTATTTTCATTGATATTTTGGATTTAGAGAAACTTTTAACACTTCTATTAAACCCATATTTAAGATTTGATTGCAGTGTTAATACTGTAATGCCACGCCCAAACAAAGATTAATACAACCAGGCTAACGATGATACTAAATGGAGCTACGCAACAGGAAGTTGCAACTGTATTTGAAATAAATCAATGGGCTTTGCAACCTTAAAACTAACGTCTGAAGACCACTATCTGGCCATCCGCAGGTAACCACAACAAGGCAGGACCGTCAGACACCCCCCCCCCTTCATCACCTCATGCGATTCAGAACTTGCTGTAAAACTGCTGCTACAATTGCTGGATGAAAAAATCAGCATAAAAATGCATAAATTGTTCGCATGAGACTAAAATGAGATGATATTCCCCCACGATATCCGTACATTGGAAACCCACTAGCATTGAGACTTTGCACAGTACATATTGTTATGCCCCTTGAATTTGGGGACAATGAAAATGACCTCAACTTGACTTTTCAATTTGCAACATTGATTTTTATCACAACACACTCTAAAATCGCTTAAATAATCAAGGTTTAAACTGAAAACTTAGAATTTCATATTATTCTGATTATGCGTTTCTTTTTTTGTTCAGTATATAACAGTTATATATTATGGATCTCAAACAGTATGATGAAGAATCTTAAAAGTTACCATTTTCCATTCTGGGAATTTATGATCAGCTCCGAGGTATTCCACAAAGGTAGCAAACCCTTCATTGAGCCAAAGATCATCCCACCATCCCATGGTTACTAAATCTCCAAACCACTGAAAAAAATATAATGAGAATGTGTTGATACCATGCAAAACTAGCTGGTATTTGCATGTAACTCTTTACTTTGGAGTTACAAAAGACCTCAAATCAATTCAGACTACATAGGACAATATTATACATAGCATTGTATGT